GTTACAATAGAATTATCCAGGCGGTTGGTGATGAAGAAAGAGAGAATTTCGATGTTAGGGTAATTCAACAGCAGGCTGTTGCTAACATCCAGAAACAAAAGGAAAAATGGAAAGCAAGATTTGACAGCCGTCATTCCAAGCCAACTCAGTACAAGGAAGGCGATTTGGTGGTGATAGACACGGTACCGCAGCCTACAGGAGAATCGCATAAGTTGGATGCGCGGTATAAAGGACCATGCATCGTCACGAAAATTATCGGAAACGATCGTTATCTGGTAGAGGATCTGCCGGATTTAAGTTTGAAGCAAAGGAAATATTGCGGTGTTATGTCGACCGATCATATGAAGCCCTGGTGCTATGGTGATCCAAGTCTCGAAATCGAAGATAAAGATGAGTCTGATGATGGTTCGCCCAGGAGGGACGAAGAGTCAGGAGAGGCCGAATTGTCAACTATCAAAATGAGTTTATGAGTCAGTCGTCGTTGAGCATTGACCGAGAGCGGACGCATCTAAGGAGCGTAGAGCATATTACACTTTAAACTTTGTATTTATTCCCAGAATTACTTTTATTTTTAAATAAAAACCATCTTGACACTACCTTTTTACAAAGGTCTCTATAACTAGATGTCATTTTTAAGAAAACGTATAAAATGGGAAATAAAACTTGAATACTGCAGCGTAATAATTATAACAAATAAGAAAATTAATCGCAATTGTTTATTTTTGTCTTTGCTGTTTTGGCATTGTTTTATGAAATCTAATATGATTGTGGTTTACATTTCGTCATCTTCATTATTGCTATTAGCATTATCATCGTTGTGGTAGATTTACTACCTATTGTGCCTCAAACATCCCAAAAGCTATATAAACTACACAGTGTGTTTTATAAGTAATTTGCATTTGATAGGTATATTTACATATTTAGGACGTAATTCCAGAACTAAGTAAAACAAATACCTTTAATTCATATTGAATTTCAAAGCAATGTGTTTAATTAACCAAAACTAGAATCATTTACACTACGGATCACTCTAATACATTTCATTTGTATTCAACTCACAGCCAATTGAATGTAAAACTCAAACCAAAATTATGTTAACCAAATAAATTCAGTAGCTGGCGATTGCGTATTAAACTGGTCAATAGCAACTTGCCTGTTGTAGCTGATAGATAACGAGCTTAAATCGAATTTTTTCCACAAACAAAAAAATATACTATTTCGCCCAGTCATAGCGGACAAATGCATTAGTTTTGTAAATAAAACAAGCCCTTGTTTTGAAAGGGCGTTGTAAGAGATATTTTGTTGACTTTGTTTTAAGGCTTCTGATTGATTCAATGGAAATACTAAACAAAGATTTATGAATAGAAAGAAACCTGGCATATTTTAAATGACGCGGAAATTTTAATTTCCACCGTTGAATAACAAATTCCCGAATGATTCATGCTGATTGTGGTTTTAATTTACAGCAAACATTGCTACATACATTTATCAACGCTTATCATAATTTTAAAATGAATTGAGTGTGTACTTATCTGGTCAAAAAATGGCACACCCTATGAATGAATGAAAAAAAAATGGAAACAAACAACTACCTATTTAATGTACTGACCAAGGTGGAGTTCTTTTTGTCAAAGGAAAATCAATTAATAAACCTACGTATCATTAAAATGGGCAATCCCAAAATTAACAGAGGAACAATTGAAGAATAATGGCAGATTGTCAGACAATCCAAAGCATGACGCACATTCCGCGTATGCTATTACATGTTCCATTTATTTTCCCACCAAGGCAAACGAATTACTGTTAAAAAGCTGTTATAAAAGCGAATCAAATAAAATAATAAGAAATGAAATCTGATTCATATCTTCATGCAATCACAGTTGTAACGCCAGCTTGAGGCACAACCGTAAGCCAAAGTATGAGCGGGTATAACTACAAAGAAAATTGTGACTCATAACTGTTCTGCCTTTATTTGTTTAATATTCTGTTTTGTAATAATGCTTTGGTACAACGATGACGAGGGAAACACATGTTGCATACATCCTCATCGGCATTGCCCAGAAAAACATCATCGAGCGCTACCATAATTGTGGGACATTGTTCTGCATATAAAGCGGGTAACATGAGGAGGTGGTCATACATACATACATTCATATATAACAAAAATTGCTCTTCGAAATTAAAACAGAATTTGTAAATCTTATAAATATAATACCGATTTGAATTGCAACATTTCAGTAGGAGATTTTACTCTCCACTGATGAATTACCAATCAAAATATTGAGCTATGACCTTAATTTTAAGCCATATATGATAGAATTCCTCAGATTTGCACATCAAAAGAATTAAAGATAGGTATTTTCTTACACCTATACATATATGTGCTGGTATTATTCAATTTATTTATGTGAGCTGGAGCGTTTGGAATTATTTATCTTGTGACTAATGGATTGAGTAAAGGCTGTGTCACAATTGTATAAATTATAGATTTATGGAATGAGAAAACTTGTGTAAGCCCAGTTTTACAGGCAGCAGCACACTATGCAAAATTGTAATTGTTAACTTGTCTTGTTAGTAAGTCTGTGATCGAAGTTTGAATATACAAAAACCTCTTTTTTATTCTATACATTTTGGTTGATAACGTTTTTGCTGTTTGATAGTCAGCCAAAAAAAGGTTGGTGGCCCCACTGAAAGGAGTTATATTGTTTACCTCAATAAGTAACTAAAAATGCAAATATTTCTTTGTGTTTTTTACTTCTTTGTTATTAAATATTTCATATATGGGCACAACTAGATAGCTCATTTTTTCTTCTACAAATGTGTTAGTTGATAGCGCCTGATGGTTATTTTTATATTTCTGTTTTGCATTATTCACCTTTGTCAGCGTGTTAGTTAACTAGTATCTTATCCAATGAGTTTTAGGTCTCTACATTTTGTATTTTATAAAAAATATATTGGTACAAGCTTTTTCAAAACAGATAAGATAGCTGCAAATTGATTAGACGCGATATCATTGGAAGTGAGTAGAGGAGTAGTAGCACCAGTAAATAAAAACACTATAGGTAATGTGAAAAAAGAAAGAAAATCCCCTGCTGAATGATCTCTGAGCGAAAATAGTACACAAATTTCCCTTCCCATTTGGCCATTTCTATTTTATTTAGCTTAACTCGACGGTTGCACAGACGATATAACCTCCCACTACGATAATAGACAATCTGTATTATCTCCATTCTAATCTAAAACAGAATGAAAACGAATATACACACATGCAATGGGCACAACGTTGTTTGTGTATGCATGATCATTGATGTCGTTCATTTGTTTCCATCCGTTTGTAAAAAATGAAGATCAAATGAAACAGATACCAAATTGGAGGTTTGTGTGGCGTGGATATGCAAATTACGAGCGATCTCATTCCATAAACATAGAAAAAAGTTAAATATTTCAACACATGAAGCGTTTCATTGCAAATGACTCATTTAAGAGAACACTAGTTATGTTGTTAGGTGCTATGGTTCTAATGGATCTTCCAGGCATTTTTAAGTTTGCATTGTTAAGTCTAATTGAGGATTATGAATTTATTTCTCTCTTCAGACGAGAACGATCTGACATTAATTATTCGAAGGCATTTCTTAAAAACTTCAAAATATTCCAGAAAATTTAAGAGAACACAGCCAATTGGCTCAAGGTTATTAACATGACGGTATGGTATGGCGCTGATAATATTCCACCGGTAAGAACTGTATTTTTGTGCGAGGATCGTCCTCTCGTGTTGATAAATAATAAGTCATAAGCAAACTACTAAATATACATGTCTTATTCCTAGCCCTTTCGGATGGTGCGACATTGAAATTTGTCCTTTACTTAAAATATCTTTTCATAAATACGTACAACAAATGTGAGTTCACAATAGCAAATTTACTTCTCACGTAAGATCTATGTATGTAGAGGAAGGGGTTTACATTCATTGAAATAGTCCACAACCAACGTGTAGCACCATCAGTGTGCGTGAATTAGAAATCAAGCAAATAGGTAGCTATTTATATTTTTTGTTTTATGTTGGGGTTGTTGAATGTTTGGCATTAGCATAGGTCATTGACAGAGGTAAACATAAACTAATCGTTGCATTTTTGACTTCTTCATATGGGTACATAGGTATGGGCATTTAATCTTATTGCGATTGTATTCTTTTCCTCGGAACATGTGAGATGACATGGGAAACAATAACAAATACCCCACACAACAACCTCCTGCAGAGTCAATCATGTTGCCGTGGTGCCATAGCCTCTTCTAGACCGAAGTAAATAAACTTAATGTGGGTCATTTTAAAGAGTAACAAGACCAACATGCATTTTCTTCGAACCTCTTTTTACGTTATACCTTTTAAATCGTCAACATCGAAACATTTCGATGCAAAAAGTTCTGAAATAAGCTTAAATTGGTACTGCAAATGCACTCATTGCTACTTGTTATGTGTAGGAAATTCGATATTTCCTATTTTGTTTCATTTATATGCACACTGTTGGTATGCTTGAAGAAGTAGAGGGAATCTAACGTATAAATCATAAAATATAATTTCCAATATGCCTAGTTGGACAAGCTTAGTGCGAGTTGGCATATGTAATTAGTACATGGAACAAAAATTGTATTTCCTAGAGGCCTATTAAGGTGATCATCTCAAAAAGTAATAATTTATGAGGACCATTAGTGGACTGTTGTTTTTAGAAATTTTTACCCAAAAACTGTATTTATCCTAACTCATACCCTAAGATGACAAGTTTTTTAAACAAATCGTAATTCTTTTAAAGACCAAACATGCCAAAAATAGGCATGACACACTCATATATCCCCGTTTTAATCCCAATATCATCCCATGCATTGACCCATTTTCATGTAAGTAGGACTTGACTAAAAAGTAGAAAAGATATATTTCATATGGAAACTCGAAACTCCCATTCGCAATTAGTGTCGTGCTACTGTATAATTAAATACGTACATACCTTCAGTATTTATATCGCAAATTAGTTTTGGTTTGAAATTTAGTCTTTTTGCAGTGTATTCCACCTTGGGATCGAATGGCAAAAATTTGGTTTGGCTAGAAAGTTTCTACTCTTCTTTGATCATAAGTATATGAACATTTATGATTTTTTTTGTTTTCGTGTAAAAGCAACAAAAATATCCCAGAAATATTCTCAGGAGTGTTCCAAAGCCATTAAATCATTTGTATTTTAGAGCGTGAATTCTTTTTTTGGCAGAACCTTGATTTTTATAACATTTATCATTTTTTCTTGGTGGCAATTTTTTTGTTTTTTTTTTCTTTTCTCTCACACACACTCACTTTGGATTCGTTTGTTAATACACCATAAAATAAATGCAATTCTCAATGTTGATGGTTAACTTTTTTCGTTGGTGCGTTCCGTGGAATCGATAAAATACGTTTCGGAATTAAAAATTACAAAAAAATAAATGTAAAATGTTTATATCAAACGATAAAAACGCAAAAATATTTGCGTGTGTTTCTTCCTCTATTTTTTGTTTCTTGTGTGTGCCGTTGCTCTGCTTCCGACGATAGTGAACTATGAACTACTCGAACTAGTTCACTCAAAAGCGCTCGTGAATAAAATGAACTGGAAAAAACTGTCAAATGCAAAATATGCGTGATTTTTATTGTAAACGTAACGTACGTAACGCACGTGATGAATCACAGTTGTATAAACTAATGAATATATAGGTTAAGGAATAATCTCACCGCTAATCATCGAAAAAATTCGGAGCAGCAGAAGTCGTTTCAGGGTTATAAATGAAAATATTGGAGTCACTCTATTTTAAAATATTAACAATTGAAGGATATTTGACAGTTAATAACTGTTTCAGAATAAAATATGTGTGTAAATTACGTGATGACACCGAAAAGTGTTTTCGAAGTTGAGTAGGTCCACCATTGACAAATGAAAATATAGACAACGAAAAGTTAGTTTTGGCTTTATATCCAGGTGGCTCTCATCATGTTTTGCATAGTTAACATGCTGATTTATGCGTTCAAGCCACTCGACTTCGAAAACACATTTTATCGTTTTTCAAGAATTTCACTTGATTATTCTGGAATTTTTCACTGTCATCACGTACTATTCACAAATTCCAACTGAAAAATATCATACAGTTTTTACTATTTTTAACATTTAAAAATTGAGTGACTATAATATTCCATTCATACCCCTGATGCGATATAGACGACATCTGCTGATCCGATTTTTTCGAAGATAAACGATGAGATCATTTCGTTGTCTATATTTTCATTTATCTATGGTTGATTTTGCGTGCTGAGAGTCATCTGCATAAAAAGAAAAAACTAACTTTCCGTTGTCTATATATTCATTAGTCTATGGGAAAGTTAGTTTTGTCTTTTTATCCAGGTGGCTCTCATCATATTTTGCAAAGTTAACATGCTGATTTACGCGTTCAAGCCACTCGAGTGTTTTCCTTGTCTTGCAGGTTCTGGAACACAGCACATGCATATGTAAAAAAGCAACTACAAACGTAAGAATTATTGGTTTTTATTTTTTTATTTATATTTCCCAATTAAATAATCAATATTGTAAGTAATTTATTATTTGTTATTAAGAAAACTAAATTAGTTTCATTTCTTCCTTATTTTGCCCTTTCGTTCCATAAAATCTTTTATTATTTCCTCAACCCTTCGACCGTATGACATGTCCTCCAATTCCTTTCTGCATTTCATCCATATGTCTGTAAGCATTCCCTCGGTCTTGTAATATTTAATAACATCATTTCGTCTAATCCATTTTTCTATCATATTTGACTTCCATAACTCATTAGAATGCTTCAATTGATAAAATGTCTCATATGTTTGGCAATATTTTCTACTTTTTTCTGCATCTAGCTGGGGAATGTTCAGAAAAGTTTGTCGTATAATGCGATACGGATCATAGTCAAGATTGTAGTTTTCATTGCCCACTGCATCCCATTTAATATTTAACATTGCATCGTACAGCTTTTTGGGTCGGCCCAAAATTCCATGGCTGACATCGATTAGGCATAGCTGTGAAGATGGCACAATGTATTCCAGTTCGATTTCTGCAATACGTACATCATTGCCTCGGTATTTTCTCTGTCCTATCCAAAGAATCGGAAGATTTTCGTCTTCGACATTTTTCAGTTCTTGAATTAACGGCGAGGTTTGAGCACGATAATTGCACCGTTTGTAATTCTTTCCATATAAAATACTGGCTTCAACATTCGACAGACCAAGCTTACACTGGACCAATGCAAAGTGTTCGGATCGAAACAAACGATCAATTTCCCAATTAATAACCGTCACACTGCGCCTCTGCGTTGCAATCCACACAAGAACTGTGCAGAATGCAAGGAAGCTTTCGTGAAATTGTTGATCTTTTATTGATAATGAAATGTTAACCACGGGTTTCATGTGGTAAAATTTGCTGGTGTCACCTTCGCCCAGTAGTACACGACTGTATTCTCTGGCCAACAATAGGCGATATTGTGATAGCTTAGCCGAAAATATACGTTTGATTTCAGTGCTGTCTTGATTTTGCATTCGTGCATTCTCGCCCACCATTTCCTCCCTTCGTATCAATATAAATTCCAGTATTTTCAAGAAGTGTTCAAAATAAATAATTAACGATTTGATAAGGGAATGGACCGACTTGGTGTTTAGGAATTTGACAAAATTTTTAGATGTCATTTCCGTTGGGGCCAGAAAAAGGACAAGGTTTTTAATATCTTGCACAAGTATGACGTCGCTATCGTGTGTATCGTCCGGTCTATCAAATTCTTGACGAAATATCATTTCTTCAACTTTATCCATTAAACTTTTGAATTTATAACCACCAACATTGATGAAATCTTTACTCGTTTCTTTAGAAGCGTCCCTTGCCAGAAAACGTTTAGGTTCGAAACAATCTTCAGTGTTTGGTACCATTTTTAAGGCAGCTTGAGTTATTTTTCCGGAATGAAAATCAATTAAAAATAAAAACGAACCTGTGTGCCAATATAATTTATTTTAAAACGTCTTTAAAAATTGTTGAATTCAGAAAATCAGGAGGCGGAGAGTAATTTTGCCTGATTTCTGAGATTGTCTTTACCTCCAATAGATAAGAAATTTGGTGCTTTAGTTTTTTTTTATTAGAATTGAATTTTGCCTTTGATAAATACTATTTACTGAAACTATTTTGCTAAAAGATATTTTTTTAAATATTAAAAATGTACACAAGCATTTCCTTTTGCAGCAAGAAGCCATAATTGTATATATACATAAACTAGGGATGTATTAGGTTAGCGATTAAATCGTTTATACCACTTCAAATTTTCCAGAACAACAGTTCAGGTGATCAACCGAGTGCTGAACTGAAGGTAACTCTTTGGTGTTCTCCTTTATTTCAGTTATAATATCTTGAATTTTATGCAGAATCTGTTGAGATTCTAAGGAATTTAAATTCTTAATATGAGGCTCGGGCGACGATTTGCAATTATCGTTTGTGGTTTCAGTAATGCTGTTGGCCGGTGTCAACAATGGATCTTCAGGTGGACAGTCCTTTTCAACATGACCATCCTGTGTTGCACTTTCCGCTAGTGCTTCATTAAGTTGTTGATGCAACTGATGTTGCTGTTGCGTTAGCGGTATTTCCATGCCTAAGCTGTTGACAAGATTATTTAACATGGTAAGACGTTCTCTCATTTGTTGCCGTTCCTCTTGCAGCAGAGCTGTTTGTGCAGCTTTCTCATATTCCCTTTGCTTAAGAATTCGCCTTTGGGTCTGATACAAGGCTATGTATTCCCCTATTGTCTCAGTTTCTGATTGTAGTTGCATAACTAAGTGCTCCAAGCGCTGTTTTTCTTCTGTTAGGTCTGCGACCTGACCCATGAGTTGTGTGAACCTTAATTGTAATTTCTCGACAGCTTCTTCTGTAGCAATGTGTGGAGTCTTAGGTTTTGACGCTGTGCTCATTTTTGGGGTTACTGGCCTCTGGACAATTTCGGTAGCTTCTTCACAAACATCCATTTGTGAATTGCATTCGTTTGCAGGGACATGGGTTCCCTTGTTTTCGTTATCATGACTATGCTTGTGAGAGTCATGTTCATCATGTACTTCGCTACCACCATCGTTGCAATTTTGTTGCTCCTGATCATTATGACAATGGTCATGGCCATTTTGATCATGATGGTGTTCGTGTTCGTGGTGGTGATGATGTGCTTCATGATGATGTTCGTTGTGATGATGATGATCTTCATGATGATGTTCATGGTTGTGATCATGTTCATGCTGTCCATCTTCATGATAGTGCTCATGGTCATTTGCGGCTCGACTTCTTCTGCCAGTCTAAATCAGTAATAAAGAAAATATTTGTATTTGTATTATTCAGAAATACTCATCTACTTATCTATCGCATTGCATACCTCCTCACTAAGACCTAATTTCTTTTTGAGTTCTTCATTTTCATGAGAAAGTCTTATCATTTCTTCGTCTTTGAATTTAAAACGTTCATCTAGCTCTTGTAGCCGTTGTTCCATGGCACTGTAATTAGAGCGCATTTCACGGTTAGAGAACTGTTCGGAATCCAAACGATTCATAAGATCGGCCTTGTCGTTTGTGAGTTGCACAAAACGAAGTTCTAATTCGTCCATTTGCTTTTTTAATTCAACATTTTGCGACAGTGCACGAGAGGCTGCTATTTTATCCGATTCCATGGCAGCCAACAGTTTTGTCTTATCCGGTTGCTCAGCTGTAACATTCTCCAACTGTTCTCTTAATTCTTCGACATCCTGCTTCTTTTGCTCATATTCGTTTTGTAGAGTAAGCAAGCGGTCTTCTTGGGATTTGATTTTTAGTTGGAATTCGTATCTCTCAGTTTCATACTCCTGTATACGATCCTGCAACTCTTGCAACTGCTGATTATTCGTTACTTCCTCTGAGGAGCCCTAGAAAGACTAAATCGTCAAATCCGTAGTTCTTGAAACATAACAATAAAACTGCTCACCATTGATTTTTCTTCTTTGATTTCAGACTGTCGGGATATATTTTTTTGTATTTCCCTTTCCAGTTGCTGCACATGATCCACCATTTGCTTCTCCCTCTCCCGAAGTTTAGAAGATTCCTCCATGAGTTCACTGTTTCGTTCATTTAGCTGATTTACTTGTGCATTCAGTTGTTGAACATATGTTTGATATTGGGTGTTGGCCTGTTCCTTGTCCTGTGTCAACTGTTGAACCATTGCCTGCAGGTCTCGTATTTGCTGTTCGTACATGAATTGAGTTTGGGTTAAGGTTTCGACACGATTGTCCTTGGTTATGTTACTTTCATCGGATAGTTGACGTATTTTAAGTTGCGCCAGTTCCAATTCATTGCATTTCTCCTTGTGTTCATTGTCTAAGGCTTTGAGACGTTCTTCGCGTAACTGCATTTGTTGCTGTAATTCCAATAGGTGAGATGACTGGTCCTCGTTAAGAGCTCTGGTTTGGGCAAGTTTGTGCTGCAGTTCGGCATTTTGCATTCTGTGTTGTTCCAATTGTTTTTGCGTATCTTTCAAATGTTCCTGTAAATCATCTACACGTCTAGTTACATTGCCATACTGCACCCTTAACTCTTCCAATTCGAGATCTTTTTCTCGACACGTCGTCCGATATCTGTTCAATTCAGATGTCAGTTGCGCCTTTTCGCTTATAAGAACTTGTATGGCATTTATGTTTTGAGTGCCATCGGCCAATGTGGGTTCATCGATGTGACTCGAAGGCAAGGATATTGGAAATGATTTTGATGTGTCTTCTTGTGGGGCATTTGCAAAATAATTGACAGATTCCAGTTCTGTTTTGCTGCTGACATCATCATTTTGTGCTTTGCTTATTTGGCTAACGTCCAGTTCAAGGTTGGTGCCATTCAAGTGGAGGTCAGATTCAGAACGTTCTGATATATTGCTGCTTACATGACCACTGTTGCTGACTGATTCAACATTTTGAGGAATTGGTTCGGCATTACCACGTTGCTGATATTCTCTAAGCTGAAATGAATAAATGTAAATACATGTAAATTTATACGTTTCTACAATAAGTTAGAAGGAACAGCTGCTTTGCTTCTTCAAGTCTGACAAAAACAAGCAGCCAAACAAGTGACGTGTCATCACCAGGAGATGTAAATTTGTATACCTTACCTTTTTTCGTGCAGCTGCCAATTTCTTGGCCTTGCTTTCCTTGGATTCCTCGGGCATTTTGTTTCCCTTGTGAACTAGCAATTTATTGTTAATTGTCGTTTTTGACGAATAAATTGATTAAAGAATTATTGGTCTTATTGGTGTTCAGGTCTCTGTCTCTGCTTCAAGCGTGCGCTCTCGTTCGGTTTGGTTGTTCGTTGCGAGTGTTGGAAACAAAAATGAAAAACGTCCCAACGAAACGAATATGAAGGCCACAAAGGAATACCCGATAAAAAATAAACAGAAAGCAAAGACTCGGGGTACTCTGTTGTTTACGAATGAGTGTAATGCATAACGCCCGAGCTCGGAACTAGCTACAAATTCAAATTCAACGACGGTGCGACATGACAGACGGACGGCGTAAGTCGACAAAGACTACTTTACTCCTTGTCCGACAACGAAGCTGAATGATATTTTTTCAGCGGCGTCGGCAGCTTATCAACTGTAAACCAATCGGCGACGCATTGCGTTTTCTGTACTGGGTTGCCACAGTTGGTAAGAAAACAATTTTGGTTTGGTAATTTGGTTCTTATTTAGGTAACTGTGTTAAAGAAATATTTTCAAAATCAGTTATTGGAAGAAACGTACCTTATTTAAAAACTTTCTATCCAATCATTCCAATATTGTTCACGATTTTTTCTTTTCGTCATCTGAACAAATTCAAAAACAACAAACAATACAGAGATGGAACCTCTGTATTGCTTAGATCGTCTGATGCCATGTTTTCATTGCCGAGTATATACAGGGTGAGTTAAAAATACTGCAAAAACGTCAAACGCCATAATTTTTACTTTTCTTTTTTCAATTTTATTGAATAAAAGCAAAAAATATCGGAAATAGTATCAAATTTTAGAATAACTTTAGATTTTCGATAATATTCGGCATTTATTCTGATGCCACGGTCGATTAATACGAGCGGAGTGCGACCATCGTCTGTTATGGCGGCCCATACCATCGGTCATCGGGCGGTCACTGGAATAATTTTAACAGCTGTCGGACTAGTGGCAGCAATGACAGCAGTCTGATGTTGCTTGCAGGTTTTTCATCTCACCCTAGTACGTGTTCCTTGTTTATAATTTTTCGCTCGGACTGCCGATAGCAAATTTATAGCAGCGCTGCTCACGAACAAAAACCCGCTCAACAGTCAATTTCCCTATGGTTCTGGATATCATTAACAAATCAGTGTTAAAACTTTATTTATTTCTGTATTTTTAACTATTAGCTTCTTTAATTCTTTTGGACCATCATCATATTTAAAAACTATGTTTTTTTTTTTGTTTCCAATATTCCATGGTTTATTATAACGTTTTTTTGTTGTTATTACGGAATAAACCCAATTTGCAAAAAACAGTTTATAAGTAAATGTAAAATTGTTCTATTTATTTTCGTGTGTTTTTCTTTTTCGAAGTAAAATATTTTGTAAAAATTAGGGACAATGGACTTATGAGATATGACTTCTTTAGGAATAAATAGCAGGGTTTCTTGTCGTAACAATAATGAACTGGGGGATGTTGTTAAAGACGAGGAAATAATTATTTTGGCTTTATTCTTAAAATACGTATTATTAAAAATAATTAACAACTAAAAGGAATTCTAATATGCTATATATAATAAAAACGCGCACATGCAGCAGATGCTCAATGCATACATCTGCATGTACGCGAAGAAAGCTATCACATAATTAATATAATTAAACCTGATGATAAGTGTTAATACAATTTATGAGTGTAATTAAATAATAATAAGTAGACGATAAACTAAATGTATTCAGTAGTTTCAATGGAATGTTCGTTAAAACTGTTCTCTCTGAGTTGTGAGTAAAGAAATAAATTTGATCGACTAAAAAAACATTGCTCGTGGAGATATGAGACACGTCTTCTTTAATGTAACCAAAAAGTCTTTGTTCCAGGTCCCACTTTCCACCTATAAGGTATGAGTGGGGGCATTGAGGCAGCGCCACGCTCGCAGTTTTTACTCCTTCTAGGCATCTCCAAGTGGATATCAGCCAAACCCCATTAGATATTTTGGCAAATAAACTATGGAAGTTAAAAGGCTGTAGCTGAATTTGAAAGGGGTGGATGAGAAATTAATTAATTCGTTCGGCGGCTTCTTTAAAATGTGAAATTTATTCTTTTAGCTGAGTTTATATTATTTTTATTATGTAATTATTGAATATTTACAAGTGTTTGATACAAAAATTAAGCCACAACCAAATTGTTAGAACTAATTCCATTTGCCAGAGTTTAAGCCCAAAGCGATCAATATTACACAAAGGATATTATAACGTCAGGTATCTGCCATTCCGTGGTGGTTGAGGTAGCTTCATCCGTCTCACCTGCTCCATAACTAGAATCAAGGCCATAGTTTTCACTGTTCAGTCATTGGGAAGATTTGGAGTTTTGTGTTAATACCAATTCGGGGTGTTAATGAGGGGTTAGTGGGCCTTTGAGCCACAGCCTACATATGGACACACAGCCATTCGCCGAGAGAATGGGCCACATTATGTCTCCCAACCTGCCCAGGAATTGCTGTACGTTTATGTTGTGCGGTGGTCGTTTAGCGGATTACGATGGATTAATGAAAAGATGGACTATGAGTAGCAATAATGAAATATTTGTTATAGAACAAGTTGCACGGCACTTAGGGTAATATTGAGTCTGGAAGAGAAACATATATCTATATTTTTGCTAATATATTGTAATTTGACCAACAACAACAATAACGATGAAAAGCCATGGTTAGTGAGAAGCAATTTAATTTTTCAATTTATACGACACAACACCAATTTCACATGATTCGTTTCTTCCGATTTTTCCAATTTTCCAATGTGCACACATATAAGATAATTTGTCGTATGTGGTGGTGGTTTTGTTCGATGGGGTGGGAAAACTATGTAAAGAGTACGTACGAATTGCTGAGGCCACGATATATCCAGGATTTCCATGACTTGCCAGATTCATCGTCGACCTTGGCCTCCAACTCTGAACAGAAGTGTCGCCGATCATGGGAACGTCCGCTCTTGGCATCGCATAGTATTCGTTTTCGACATTCGGCATCGCATGTAGGTCTGACAGGTGAATTTTTCCAATAGTTCCTAAATTGAATCGATTAACTATGTGTAACAGATGAGGCTCTATCTCGATACTCACTTGTAATACAAATCGAATAGTTCCTGATTTGCGGTCAGCTCACTTATGAGATTGTCCCAGTCCACGGGACGCAGTGCCTTCATGTTGTAAGCCGCTCTGGCCGTATACAGTTTGTACCAAATGGGATAGTCATAATGGTTGGCCTCCTTCAAATTCATTATCCATGACTCGTGGTCAACTACCAGACGTGTGGTTGTGTCATGATCACCATCCACATAATAGATGCGATAACCGGGATTCAGATCATAATAGGGAGAAACGGACGGTCCAATGTAGGCAATGTTATTTGGATGGCCTTAGGGGAAGAGAGTAAACATTTGGGATTAATATAGTTTTGAGAGGAAAGACGATCGCCTTGGGTTTGAAGAACTTACTCAAATCTGCCGGATCATAAAACATTTCGAATTCATCGAAATGGGTGTGGCCATAGAACTGCGCCATAATTGTGTTCTCATAACGGGAAATGATTTTGTAGAAATTGCGAGACCATACCTTCAGACAATCCGAGTGGCCGGGAGGTATATGACCAATGACATGGACCTTTTCATTTGAAAATTCGGCACTTTGCAACTCATAAATAAACCATTGGAGTTCTGTTGCTGGATCGGTGGAATTTAAAAGCAACCACCTGGACACAGAAAGTAAATGGATTAACCTGTATTCGTACTCACGTTTCCAACTTACCAATTTTTGTTGTTGCAGTAGTTCATGTTCAGGGAAATTATGCGGAAACCAGGCCTAACCAGCACCGAATAGAAAGCACCACGCCGCACTGTGTGGGAAACACTTTGAGGCAACCAACGACGCCATTGAACGTCAAGTTCATCATATAGCCAGGCTATTGAGTTTTCCACCTGATTCACATAGGGTGGCGGAAAACTGTTGACCGGAGCACTCTCATGATTGCCCAGAGCTGGAAAGATGGGAACGCCGGGGAATTTCTCCGTCATCTGTCGTACTGTCTCCTTAATGATTTCCAAATTCTCCTGCTTCGTTTGGTTCCACACATCGTGAGGTGGTAGATCTCCCGTCCACAATATGTAGTCAATATCGCTGTGGGTATCAGCTATGTGCGACAGCATATTATCGACGGTGCGTTTGGGAGTGTCGCATTTACGATAATCACCCCATTTTCCTGCAGCGGCATTGGGATTTGCCGGCCTGCCACTGCTCAGCCGACAGCAAAGCGGCTCATTACAGTCGGCATTTGACCCCTCCACATAGTGGGGGTCATAGTGAGTATCGGATATTTGTAAAACTTTGAAAAACGGGGCTCCCTCTTTCGGTACAGGAACTTCCATTACGGGAGGTTTTGGTACCGGGGGGAAAACCACTTCCCATTCGTGATAGGGATTATAGGTGTCCTCGCAACCATCGCCAATGACAAAACTACAGATCTCGTTTGGTCCCAGGGGAGTTCTTTGCAAGACATATACCACCTCAGTGCCGAAAAGGTTTGCCACACCTTCACACACCCGGGGACTTTGGATGTTCAGATTTGAACAGAACTGATAGATCATTTTGATGATTTCCCCCTCCGTCTTGCCCGTATGGATGTAGTGCAACAGAAGCCCGGCTCCCGCTTTGCATGCCGTACACGAGACTTTGGACAAAAGACTATGCTCGATCTCATACGACACCTGTTTCAAATTGAATAGCTTCAAGGCCTTGTCCACGAATGGAGGATAGGCCAAACCGTCGGGCGTGTTGTCATACCACAGCATGCGGGACTTAGAGGTGTTGTTCTTAATTCGCTTCAGTCGCTCGAGGAATTCCTCGTCGCTAATTGAGGCTTCGGCATTGGTGCGGTTTTCCAAGTGTTTCAATTCCACATGAGGCACAATGCTGCGTGGTATCGAAAGGATTTCCCAATCATCTTCGGGTTGTGTCCAATTTATCGATTGTCTGTGTGAGTGAAATGTTGGAAAAGCTATGCAAGGAAATGTTTTAGTAACGACTACTGTGCTGGTATCACGTTGAGGTACATACCTTGAACTCCCGCCACTGCCACTAGGACCATCCACGCACAGATGGTCTGAGGTATTATCATGTTAATGGTGTTGGTGTGTGTGTGTGGGTGTTAATATCCCGTTGTTTAAAACTCTGCACCCGACTTCTGCTCCAAATGCTATAACTAAATCTAAAACCAGAGGAAAACAATTATTATTATTATTATTTTTTTTTTTTTTTGATTTATTTTTGGAATATCC